TTTAATATTTAATGCAGCGTGATGTTTTGACCAGGCATTGTGACTGTCTTATTTGCAATGTTTATAAACTGTTCTTAGCGTTATATTTAGAGATTTCGAATAACCATTTCCATTTACGACAATATACCAAATTTGATTACCGACGGTTGGCTCCGGAGTATATAATTCCTCGACTGTTATACTTCTCGGTGGTAAAACATTCTGGAACTCTTTCAAGTTAGAGCAACCAAAGAAATCGAATCACGCATACACACATTGTTGTCAATATAATGGAATTTTATGAGACTGTCATACAAAAAAGAGGTTTAGATAGCTTTAAAACCATGTTTAATCCACCATTTTCTACATAAGAAAATGCCTGTACCAAGTCAGGAATATGATAGTTGTTTTCCATTCGTTTGATGTGTTTGAGCTTTTGATTTTGCCAATTGTTAAGGGACTTTCCGTTTAGAATTTTCCTTGGAGTTCGGTATTTTTGTATATTTACTTTTTACAATCGGTGCAATTTAGGGACAAAATTTAACTGTTTTCCGATAATTTTGTTGTGTAACAAAAACAAAAAACAATCAATGTTTTCCTAAAATTGCACCGTTTGTAAACATCATTTTACTTCTTTAATTTGCTCTCACTTAACTGAATATCATTATGTCCTGCCACAGAGAAGGTAGCTTGTCGAAAAATTATATATTCTGGAGTCAAATGCGGTAATATGAAAATAGTCTATTGCAACCAAATACTATGTTGTAATAGTAATTCGATCCACATTTGCATAATATTTTATACCTGAAGCGCTGTTATAACACGTGTTCTTAGTAATAGCTCACAAGCAAATTAAAAATTAATCAGAATCAAAATATCATATTAACTAAAAATCAAATTATCAACAATCAAAATGAATACAACAGCATCAATTAATTATTAAAAACAACGAGATCCGTTTTAGTGCACTGTTAGTTTCTTGTTTCTGTAATTTGACGTCTGTATTTTAGCTTCATAGTTAATATAACATAATGAGGTATACACTAACAAAACCAAAAAAGTAATTAAAAGTTCTAGACAATAAATTGATTGTATGAAGTTGTTAGACGATTGATAATGACAAACAAAATATAAACGATAACATAAAAAAAGGTAAATTACATTCGGGTGCTCATTTCTCAGATCCATCTGTTGTGTAATAGTTTCCCACTTCCCACTTTTCTCCCTACTGTTTCCCAGATTCCACCTTTTTACTCCCTTTATCCCACAATTTCCTTTTGGTACCCCCTATATCCCACATCCCAAAAGCATGTTATCACCCTTTGTAAATAGAATAACATGTAGTTAAATGTTTTGTCAGAATAGGATTGATAAATCTACACATACGATAATTATAAAGTTTTTATATGTCTCTTTCAGCCATAGTCAAGAAATGTTTATATATTTAGAAATTTATTACAAGTTAACAGATAAATGGATTTGAAACTTTTAATGAGTAATGTTTAGTTGTTTTAACATTGATAATTAATGTATCAAGTGTTATATTGTTAGTGTATCATAAGTCATATTTTCATGCCTTGCAAATGCTTGTTTTACGTGTAAATTAAAATTGAAGATGTTTTAGGACAATCAATATGTGACACTAAAATAAATTAATGTATTATCATAATAGAAAAAAGTTACTTTAATCAAATATGTTAATAAACATCACTAAAAATAAAGGCACAGTAGTATATCAGTGTTCAAAAGTCATAAATCGATTGAGAAAAAAACAAATCCGGGCCACAAACTAAAACCGAGGGAAACACATCAACCATAAGAGGAAAACAAAGGAACAACAGGAACACCGAAGCGCAACAAAAACAAACGCCAACATACATGAAACGAACTACTTGATAACAACTGCCATATTCCTGACTTGGTACTGGACATTTTAAGAAGACATGGTGGGTTGAACCTGGTTTAATGGCTAGCCAAACCTCCAGCTTTATGACAATGTTAAAAAATTTCGCTAAAATGACAACACTACGTGACAGAAATACAGCACAAACACACGCAAGAAGTAAGAGAAAAAACAATCAGTCACAATACCTTAAAGGGTATGTAATATATCTACCTTTCTGATACATGACAACGACTACAACTGCAAGTGAAAAACTAATCAATAGCACCACAGTCACGGCACAAATTGATTTATACCCTTTTCTACTCTCTTTACGAATTTCAGAAAGTTTATCATTCCACATGTTAGTTCTAATACGTTCTCTGCTGTGAAGATCCGATTTATTCCAGTCCTCAGTGTCAGGCATGTTTACAAGTTCAACTTGTTCACTCATTTTCGGTGCTGATGTTACTTTTTTGGTCAATTCCCTGTTAAGCATTTAACAATTACGATTTATAATAAATTGATATGTTCTTCTTATAAGATTTCCGAGTATCCTCAATTGTCATCTTAATATGAGTGAGGATCATTACAAAATATCTAATTACAATCTATAGGGGGGGAGGGGGGTTGAGATCTCACAAAACATGTTTAACCCCGCCGCACTTTTGCGCCTGTCCCAAGTCAGGAGCCTCTGGTCTTGTATGCTTTTTAATTTTAGTTCATTTATATGTTTTGGAGTTTAGTGTGACGTCCATTTTCACTGAACTAGTACACAATTTTATTTAGGGGTCAGCTGAGGACCACCTCCGGGTGCGGGATTTTCTCGCTGCGTTGAAGACCCATTGGTGGCCTTCGGCTGTTGTCTGCTCTTTGGTCGGGTTGTTGTCTCTTTGACATATTCCCCATTTCCATTCTCAATTTTATATAATATTACAAACCTCCAGTTTTGGGTTGGGTGTGTGTTGCTCAGTAATAGTTTTCTATCTTGTGTTGTGTTGACCGTTGCTTGTCTTTTTTGATGTTTTTTTTTTTATTTTAGTTTTTTTTTTTGGGGGGGGGAGGAGATTTTTGCAATGGCGTTGTTAGTTTGTCTGACTTATTTGTTTGAATATCAAGTTAGCATATTATGGCTCTCTGATAGAAACGTTAACTTTGACAGGCAATTCATATTAAGGTCCTTATTAAATGAGACTTCAAGAAGAATCTTATAAGAAGAACAGATCAATTGATTATAAATCAAAATTGTTAAATGCTTAACAGGGAATTGACCAAAGTCTCACACGTCGGTTATATGAAAATAGTCTTTTAACCGAAATCAATCGGTGTAAAGAACGTCATTAAGCAATCGACTCTAACTGTGACGTAATAACATAAGCATTGTATAGAAAAACACACGAACGAGAAAGGCGTCAAAACATAGAAACATAAACAGACGATGCAGGGGTGGATCCAGTCATTTATAAAAGGGGGGTTCCTAACCCAGGATAAAAGCGGGGGGGGGGGGGGGGGGGTCCAACTATATGTCCCTATTCAAATGTATTGATCGTCAAAAAAAGGGGGGGGGGGGGGGTTCCAACATGGATCCGCCACTGTGATGCTTTGAATTTCTTGATATCCCAATTTCATCAATAAAAGTATGTTCTATTGTTCAGTAATCAAGTTAGTACTTATACAAATGGAATCGATGTAGGTCTAAAATATTTATGTTTGGTTTGCATATACAGATATATTCTGGAAGCAATACACATCAAACCTCCGTTTGAATTGGTCGGTACCATTGTTCTGTAACAAGAATCAATATCTTCCCTCCGATTGAAATTAACACAAGCATTACATTTTAATAATTTAAATAACTGATTTTTCCTTTGATTTCCAAAATATAGAATACATCTTTTTTAAAACACAAACTATTGTTCTCGATAAAATCCTTGACAATGTAAAAAGCTGGATTGTAAGTGGTTTAAAAAGGGAGTATGTGCCGTTTATGCTAGATGGCCATGAATAAAACTGATAGAATTGATTTGATGGCAATAAATGTTACTCTAAAAACCATATAGTCTATACTAGAACAAACGGATCGATTTCCAAGGAAAAGACCACTCCAAGTCGCTATTCCCGATGTGAACGTTTAAAGCAATAAATTGGTGACGAAAAGTCATAATCATTTCTTTATGTACTAAATCAATATAATCATATGCATTCCGTCTACATCTTAAAGGTCAAATCTATAATAACATAAAACAGACAACAAATAGATGAGAGAAACAAAGAATAAAAGAATAAGTTAAATATAAGATTTTTTACCTTCTGTGGTCATCCATTTGCTTGAGATCTTATATATATTAGTTAATGCTGACGTAGTGAGTGAGGGAAAGGCTATTGTTTTCTCTATATCAGTTTGTGTTGGATCAGTTGTTGTATAGATAAAAATAAGAAGATGTGGTATGATTGCCAATAAGACAACATTCCACAAGAGACCAAATGACACAGAAATTAACAACTATAGGTCACCGTAAGGCCTTCAACAAGAAGTAAAACCATACCGCATATTAGTCAGCTATAAAAGGCCCCGAAATGACCAATGTAAAACAATTCAAACGCTAAAACTAACGGCCTGATTTATGTACAAAATAATGAAAGAAAAACAAATATGATATACAGCAACAAACGACAACCTTTGAATTACAGGCTCCTGACTTGGGACATCCACATACAGAACGTGATGGGGTTAAACATGTTTGAAGGCGCGCCAACTTTCTCCTTAACCTGGGACAGTGGTGTAACAGTACAACATAAGAATAAACTATAAAAATCAGTTGAAAAGTGCTTAACTAATCAGACCGATACAAAGCAGAAACACATTTAACAAAAACACAGAGTGTACGTGGTAGGGTACTTATACATCCCAACAACAAAACGTCACTAAATACAGATCTGAGAGCACTCGCAGTTACTGACAGCTAGTTCAAAACCAATAACAACTAATAAAAAAAAATCATACATATAAGACTAAAATATCAATCAGTACACATCCAATACCCAACAGTCAGAGAAAAACACAACCTTGTGCAATGCCAAGATACAGGTATCGATAGATTGTAGACCCATATATGTGCATATGTATATAAAAATAATATTTAGGTTGATTTTAATTTATTGATAACAAAATCAATATTAATACAAATAAAAACAATATTCAAAGATCTAAATGAAGTGTTGAATTGGTAACCTTTTAGAATAAGTTTATTTAAAGGATCGATAAGTTTGCCCGGATTGTATCTAAATTTCCGGTCTTGGTAAACAACACCTCCGTAAAAATTATGATGTGCTATCCCATGAAAGATAATTTATCTACAGGTACAACCAAACTTCCAGTAGTCTGTTTGTCAGTTTTTCCTGACTAAGTTGTTGTAATCTGCATATAAGTTTGTCCTGGCTCAGTTGTTGTAGTTTGTTTGTCAGTATGTCCTGGTTTAGTTGTTGTAGTCTGTATATCAGTTTGCCTTGGCTTAGTTGTTGTCGTCTGAATATCAGTTTGTCCTGGCTCAGTTGTTGTAGTTTGTTTGTCAGTATGTCCTGGTTTAGTTGTTGTAGTCTGTATATCAGTTTGCCTTGGCTTAGTTGTTGTCGTCTGAATATCAGTTTGTCCTGGATTAGTTATTGACGTCTGCATATCAGTTCGTCCTGGTTTAGTTGTTGTAGTTTGTATATCAGTTTGTCCAGGTTTAGTTGTTGTAGTCTTTTTACCTAAATAAGAAAATATTTAAGGAACGCTTTTTTTCATTGTTCGCTGAACGCCATCTTTGCATTTCTAGGTGGAAAGTACTTATTTTGTATATTGGCTGCTTTTAGATGACATTGTTTGGGAATAATCTATAAAGGTATTCAGTTGCAGAAAAACGCTGGTTATTATCATATTTTACATTTGCGCATCAGGACAAACTGATATCCAGTCAAATTTCTGGAGTATATAAAAATGAATCCGTCCTTCAAAACGATAACGTTATTCGGAGTGTGTACTCAAAATTTTCTCCTTTCGAAACCAAGCACATTTTCGGTCAGAAGTTGACTAATTTTGTCCAAATTTCAAAAAATCATCCATGGCTACTATGTATAATATTAATCTTTACGAATTCAATCTTTAGTTAACTTTGCTTTCAATTATTGAAGAAAAAAACATCAAATTGATCAAATCTAATACTTTGTGGAATATAAGAACTGAATTCGAAAGTTGAAATATTTCCAAAGTGTTTTTTGCATTTAAATATGATACACTATGCAATTCATAATAATGTTATAATCGTGCTTGTAGTATTTTATTATGTAATCTTTTCCATGAGAACGGCAGTTAATACTAACATTTCTTATATACTGTAAATTCAGAAATTAGTGCGAGGTTTTTATTAATGCGAAAAGATGCGACTTGGTGATTATCGCAATAATAAAAACTCACATTCTGATATCAGATACATATATTTGTATATTTGTATGCAGATTTTCCTGAAATCGCAATAATTAATCTCGCATTTTTGTCAATTTTTCAAAAATCGCAATAATAAATGCACGCAATAATTTCTGAATTTACAGCATATCTCAAATACTTTCACATCACACGAAAGAGGGTCTGGATGGGTGGGGGAGGGGGTGTCCCTCATTTCTGTATTCTTTAACTTTTTAAGCCATTTTTCTCTATTCTTTATACTTTTCGCCCGTTATTTTCTATTCTTTATATTTTAGCACCTCACTATTCTCCATTTTTTATTTTCTGGTCCATTTTTCTCTATTTTTTCATATTTTTTGCCCATTATTCTCTATTTTGTAAACCCCCATCAACACCCTCATGAAACGTTTCCTTCATCCTTGTCGCTGAGGCCAATTTTAACTTTCACACGAGGAGATCCCGTAATCATGGAAAACTTTACGCATTTATTGCATTTCTAAATGTACTCAATTGCAATGTTATACATTTTACTTATTTAGATTTAACCATCGTGTAAAAACTGTATTGTTTAAAGTGTTAACACGATCTTAACATCGTGTAAAAACTGTATTGTTTAAAATGTTAACACGATCTAAAAAATTAAAAAAAAAAACTCAATAAGCTGGAGAGACAGACAAAATCCACGATGAGAATGGACCTAATTATGATGAATTCCTTTGAAGTCGTCTTTGGAAATCATTGGTTTTGCATTTGGTTTGTTTGTTTATACACAACACATTTTTTATCTTACACTTAAACATTTGGTCTGTTTGTTTATACATAACACATTTGTTATCTTACACTTACACATTTAGTCTGTTTGTTTAAACATAACACATTTGTTATCTTACACTTTCACATTTGGTCTGTTTGTTTATAAATGAAACATTATCTTTCTTACACTTACACATTTGGTCCGTTTGTTTATGCATAACACATTTGTTATCTTACACTTACACATTTGGTTTGTTTGTTTATACATGACACATTTGTTACCTTACACTTACACACATTTGGTTTGTTTGTTTATACATGACACATTTGTTATCTTACACTTACACATTTGGTTTGTTTGTTTATACATGACACAATTGTTATCTTACACTTACACATTTGGTTTGTTTGTTTATACGTAACACATTTGTTATCTTACACTTACACATTTGGTCCGTTTGCTTATACATAACACATTTGTTATCTTACATTCACACATTTGATCTGTTTGTTTATATTACATAACACATTTGTTATCGTACACTTACACATTTGGTCTGTGTGTTTATACATGACACATTTGTTATCTTACACTTACACATTTGGTTTGTTTGTTAATACGTAGCACATTTGTTATCTTACACTTACACATTTGGTCCGTTTGCTTATACATAACACATTTGTTATCTTACATTCACACATTTGATCTGTTTGTTTATATTACATAACACATTTGTTATCTTACACTTACACATTTGGTCTGTCTTTTTATACACAACACATTTGTAATCTTACACTTACACATTAGGTCTGTTTGTTTATACATAAATCATTTGTTACCTAATACTTGAGCATTTGGTTTGTTTGTTTATAATGATGATGATGATGATGATGATGATGAATGGTTGCTAAACGTCCATCGGCAAATTAATATGCATATTCAGAACGAGAACGATTCAACATGTTAATGTAATATAAATATTTACCCTACTTTGTACTAGGCAAGCTGGGTTGGATTTTTAACGTGCTAGTTCACAATTTTATAGTCCGCTGGAAGACATGTCACCTTACCCGGACACATTATTCTGACTCCGATCCGACCAGTCGTTGCTCTTACTGCTTAATGCCTCGTGCTTAGCAGCAAATACAAATTTTAAAGTCTTTGGTTTGACCCGGCCGGGGTTCGAACCCACGACCTCCAGCACTGTTTGTTTATACATAAAACACGTGTTATCTTATTACTGACGCATTTGGTCTGTTTGTTTAAACATCTTATACTTACGCTGTCTGTTTTCATTAAACTGCACAAATAATGGGATGCAAGAGTAAGTCGGTGACTGCGGCATACACACTTCAGTAGACTTACAGCCATGACCTTTACATGGACCAGCTAGTTCCTAAAATTATCAGAACAAACACAATTTTAATATATTACATGGGGGTCTGAATGGTGTGTTCAGAAGAGAATAATGGGCAAAAATTACAGGAAAATTGCCTAAAAATATAAAGGATAGAGAAACATAGGCCAAAATCAACAGAATAGAAAATAATGGTCAAAATAAATAAAGAAGAGAAAAACACAGGGCAGAACCAACAGAATAAAAAATAATGGGCAAAATGATTAAAGAAAGAAAAACATAGGCCAAAATCAACAGAATAGAAAATAATGAGAAAAATAAATAAAAAATAGAAAAAACATAGGCCAAAATAAACAGAATAGAAAATAATGGGCACAATAAATAAAGAATAGAAAAACAGAGGCCAAAATCAACAGAATAGAAAAAATGGGCAAAATAAATAAAAAATAGAAAAACATAGGCCAAAATCAACAGAAGAGAAAATAATGGGCAAAATAAATAAAAAATAGAGAAAAATTGGCCAAAATCAACAGAATAAAAAATAATGGGCAAAATAAATAAAGAATAGAGAAAAATTGGCCAAAATCAACAGAATAGAAAATAATGGGCAAAATAAATAAAGAATAGAAAAGCATAGGCCAAAATCAACAGAATAGAAAATAATGGGCAAAATAAATAAAGAATAGAGAAAAATTGGCCAAAATCAACAGAATAAAAAATAATGGGCAAAATAAATAAAGAAGAGAAAAAAAATGGCCAAAATCAACAGAATAGAAAATAATGGGCAAAATGAATAAAGAATAGAGAAAAATTGCCTAAAATAATTTAAATACAGAAATGAACGACCCCCAATCCAGACCCTATTACATTGTATTTCTGATTCTTTAAATATTGTCAGCGCTGATGATTACTACTGCTAAATATTTTTCGGAGTGACTGCAAACATTATTAAATCTTCAAATGCTTGACATAAGACTTTCTTGGTTTAAAATTAAAAATATTTGAAAAGAAAAGTGGCTTTGAGGTCCACATTTAACCCATAATTTAGTACAAACTTAAAAGTTAAAATACATGTTCATATGTTTACGACGAGGGTGGTTTTTAAGGTTCATCATAACAAATGGACAAATATGGCCGTATTTTCACCTAAAAAACTACTCTGTGTACAGACTTACCTGTGCAGTTTGGAAAGTTTTAAGGCCTGGCATCCACTAGATATATTTGAAAAGAAAAGTGGCTTTGAGGTCCACATTTAACCCATAATTTAGTACAAACTTAAAAGTTAAAATACATGTTCATATGTTTACGACGAGGGTGGTTTTTAAGGTTCATCATAACAAATGGACAAATATGGCCGTATTTTCACCTAAAAAACTACTCTGTGTACAGACTTACCTGTGCAGTTTGGAAAGTTTTAAGGCCTGGCATCCACTAGATATATTTGAAAAGAAAAGTGGCTTTGAGGTCCACATTTAACCCATAATTTAGTACAAACTTAAAAGTTAAAATACATGTTCATATGTTTACGACGAGGGTGGTTTTTAAGGTTCATCATAACAAATGGACAAATATGGCCGTATTTTCACCTAAAAAACTACTCTGTGTACAGACTTACCTGTGCAGTTTGGAAAGTTTTAAGGCCTGGCATCCACTAGATAAATAAAAGTTAAATGTATTTTGCGTTTCACAAAGATAAAATCTTTTTAAGATTTTGATTGGCATTTTTTTTTCCGTTCCTGCAGAAGGTGTAAAAACAACTTTGAGATGCTCCCTCTCGGGTAAGAACTGTTTTGTATTGTATTGATTGTCCTTGATTGGCATGGACAATAGACAGACAATATCTATAGGTGTGAAATGGACCTCTGTGTTACAAGGCAGTGCGTATACCGACTGAGCTAAAGAAGTACTTCTTTAGATCATCCGCTTACGGCTGACTAAGTATCTACTAATGAATGGAAGCAATCCCGTCACACTTCCCCCACCTCACGAGTCATCATACCATTATGACTCTCACAACACATATCCTAGCTAGAATTCCTCTCTAACCACCGTGGGTTTTTTAGTTGGGCGCCAAATGTAACCGTAGAGCATGATTCTAATGAGAAAATCACATTGTCTCCACCGGGACTCGAACCCGGGACCGGGTTCGAGTCCCGGTGGAGTCAAGTAATTTTGTAATGAAATTCATGTTCTCCGGTTACATTATGCGCCCAACTTAATCCCCACATTGGCCACCATAAAATGTAACAGGAGGGTCGGGTGGCTATGCATCACCGTTCCATCGTGTCGATTAAACATCGGACATAGGTTCGTTCCTCTGGGACTGAGCTGTGGCAAATGAGACCAAATACTGATGTTCAGATTCTTTATTAAATATTCCACATAAATTTACATGTGAACAATGAAACCCAAAACATAAATTTAGTTAATTAAAGTAATTAGTAAATCAGTGCGGAAATGTTTCGTCTCCTCTAAGTAAATTCACAATTTAAGAGTGTGGAGCTAATACAGCTAATTGAGCCCCGGAAGTGACATTTCTATAATAAGTCTATTCTTTTTACAAGTTCAGTTATAAGGTATAATTCCTCCATAAGAATGGCAAAGTTTTCTATAATATATATAGTAAGCTGGAAAAAAAGTCTTTAAATCATCATAATATAATTTCATTTATATTTTCACTTTGGTATTCCGTTCTTGCACAGTGATATAGTTCATTTTGAGTCATCCCATATTCTAGCAAAGGGAGATTATTTCACAGCATCTCCGTTAAAGGTGAGTTAAAGGGTGTAACTGATTGGACAGTATCAAAAGCAATTCAGGTGTTTGTTAATTTTTACACCTTCTGCAGGAACGAAAAAAAAAAAATGCCCATCAAAATCCAAAAAAGTTTTATCTTTCTTAAATGCAAAATACATTCAACTTTTATATATCTATAGTGGATGTCAGGCCTTAAAACTTTCCAAACTGCACAGGTAAGTCTGTACACAGAGTAGTTTTTAAGGGGAAAATACGGCCATATTTGTCCATTTTTTATGATGAACCTTAACGACCTTGACTACCCATGAGGGTCTTGCAAGGTCGGAAATCATATGTTTATGTTTTATAGGTAACAGCGCTAGCATTTAAATGAAATTGCATGCGCTGAGCGATCAAACAATGAAAATTCAATGTCTTAACGTGTTTTGTTACAACTTTTGACTATATTTTGAAATAGAAAAGTTTGAGCACACCAAAATGTTAATTTGAAACTTTTTACGGATTTATGAAAGCTCTGATGAAATGAGTGTATTTTTATTTTTCTGTAACCAACGTTTACTCAAATGTAATATAACTTGAAAATGCAGAATATTTACAGGTTTCGTCATCACAATCCCGCTCTCTTTTCCCCGAATGTGACCAACGGAATAAGACTTATCACTGGGTTTGTACTTACATGAACAACACGACGGGTATCACATGTGGAGCAGGATCTGCTTACCCTTCCGGAGCAACTGAGATCACTCCCGGTTTTTTGGTGGGGTTTGTGTTGTTCAGTCTTAAGTTTTCTATGTTGTGTTTTCTGTACTATCGTTTGTTTTTTGATCGTTTTCTTTTTTTCACATGGCGTACGTTGTCAGTTTATTTGGGACTTATGAGTGTGAACGACCCTTTTTTGGTATCTTTCACCTCTCTTTCGTGAAAGTAATATGCTTATGAGCTCTTATACATTATTCACTATAAATTGTTTTTGGTTCTATCGTTAAATAGAAAATCGCTTTGAACGCAGGAAATTTATAAAGTGCTATTTTCGTTTTTTTTATAGTCAAAGTTACACTGTATGAGCTTAGTGGTCTTAACATTTTTATGCACCTGTCCGATGTCAGGAGCCTGTTGATCAGTAGTTGTCGTTTGTTGGTGTGGTCCATAAGTGTTTCTCGTTTCTCGTTTTTTTATATAGATTAGACCGTTGGTTTTCCTGTTTGAATTGTGTTACACTAGTCATTTTTGGGGCCCTTTATAGCTTGCTACATTCGGTGTGAGCCAAGGTTCCGTGTTGAAGGCCGTACTTTGACCTATAATTGTTTACTTTTTATACATTGTGACTTGGATGTAGAGTTGTCTCATTGGCACCCATACCACATCTTCTTATTTATATTAACATAAAGGTTAGGTTATCATATTGACTTGAGATGATGATGTACAAACGATTCAACAACAACAAAACACTGACTGCTTAAAAAAATTGCTATGAAAGTATATCGAACTGTCTTGTTCCTTATTTTAGGGATATGAATAAAAAAGTGCACAAATCGTTTATTGCAGATAATCATCATGCAGTTTTAAAGATGTACTTAGGTCAGGTTTAGGAATTTTTGTCAGATGTTCGGACTCATTGGTTTTTTTCCCACGATACAGGGTCAAATGTTTTGCCCCATAACACCCATTTTTCTTTTCATATAAGACTTCAAAAGCTAAAAAAGATCATTTACCAAAATTTAAGCAGATTCTAGATTTATTTTCTTTCGATTTGAGACCCAAATAATACCAATGCAAATATATGGTAAAAGACCGAGTCAGACTTTTCCCGCCATTTAAAAAAAAATTAAATATCATGAAAAGGAGCTCCATAATCAATTTTAAATTCTATATTTTTTTTATTCCACCAAGTACATCCTTAATACATACCATAATATACATTACCTTAGCTGTATTTGGCAAAACTTTTAGGAATTTTTGGTCCTCAATGCTCTTCAACTTCGTGCTTTATTTGGCCTTTTTAATATTTTTTGATTCGAGCGTCACTGATGAGTCTTTTGTAGACGAAACGGGCGTCTGGCGTAAATATAAAATTTCAATCCTGGTATCTATGATGAGTTTATTTATATACATACCTCAGGGTCGGGGCCTCGGTGGCCGAGTGGTCTAAGTAGTTACTACTGTAATCACTGGCAAGTCAACACTGAGGTTGTGAGTTCGAACACCGCTCATGCGGGTGCACTCGACTCCAATCTTAATTGACTAGGATTGTCAGTTTTCCTATCGAAGATCGGTGGTTTTCTCCGGGCACTCCGGCGTCCTCCACCAATAAAAACTGGCCGCCATGAAATAGCCTAAAAGCGGTGCTTAAAAGTGGCGTTAAAACAACAAAAATCAAAATCAAATCATACCTCAGGGAATGTTGAAGCCGCAACGAAGCTATTTCCTGCACTTTCAATGAGTTCACCACCATTACTTTCGCCAGGTTCAGCATCATTTATCTGACACGTTTTGTTCGATATTATAAAGTTTATAGATTTGCATAATTGTACTCTAGAGCAAAATTGGGCACACAATGACCACATCGGCATCGATAGTTCAAACAGCATATGCCCTGTATATATTTTGTCTTTTTGTTTTTTAATAACGATTATTTCACATAAAGTCCAGGCAAAGAGAAAAACAAGTGAGATTATCAAGCGGTACATTTTTGAACTTTGAAAAAAAAATTATACTGTAGCTCTGTTACAGTTTCAGCACTGTTTCTGATTCTAACATTTGTGTGTATTTCAGATCCGTTCATAAGGGCTTGAATATATTTTCAGTTGTCACGGAGGATTTTGTTTAAATTGAAATACATTAATTTGACACCCTTTCAACACGTCAACACGTCGAATCATGTTACATGTTACCAATGTAGTCTAGAAATTGATATTCCGTGCGCACAACAGATGCTTTTTCAAATTGAAACACATTATTAGGACCATCTACGATTTAAATGCAAAACTACTGTAAAATTTATAAGTAATTTCAAAAAAATCTTTGTTTTCAAAATTAAAATCCTTAACATTACAATAACTAACTTTAAATCCTTCTTTGTAAATGAGCATTACTCACAGAAAAAGAAAATAAAATTCAATATTAAACATTCCTGGATTTTAAATTGACTATTTCCATTTAGAATATTAAGAGTTCCATACTGGCAACTGACTAATAATACCAGGAAATATTATACACTTATTTAACGGCTATGAGGACATTATAGCAATTTATTGTCCCCCGAGGCACCAACTATTTCCCAAGGCGAAGCGGAGGGAAATAGTTGCTGTCGAGGTGCAATGACAATAAAACTTGTTAATGTCCGAATAGCCAGTAAATAAGTGATTTATAATTAATCAGAAAGAAACTAGTATATATTTTGAGACAATATATAGTTATTCTCTTTGTACAGTTACTCTGACAACTGTTCCAAGTGAACTAGTTTGGGTTACCCATCAGTTTTTTTTTAATTTGAAGCGGACGACGTAAAAATTCCGCGAAGCTATATTTTGTATTGACGTCATAATAATTTGAATGCGCAAATAGCACAGTTGCAGTTTAAATAATCATTCGAGAGAAGAGACAATTCAAACGATACAGAAAGTACAGGAAATTTTTTTGAAACTATTAACGGGTTAATAATCTTTTTTTTAGACAATTTCGTAAAAATAGAAAATTTATTCGTATATAATTTCATAAAGAAAATACATACTGAGGTGTAATAAATCAAACTTACACCTGAAAATATGTCTATATAATATTAAAACACATGTCCAAAAAACATATGTAGACTTATCCACTCGGTAGTAGGAAGTATGTATCAAAAACGTGTTCTTTGGTGTCTTCGCGTATCTCGAAGAAGAAATAAACCACAAATACTCTAAAACATCATCTAGGGTGAAAAGTAAATCACCCAATGTACTCTGTGTGAGACATTAAATCACTGAAAACCAGCTATGTAATCACTCAATATATATATATAAAAAAAGAAGATGTGGTATGATTGCCAATGAGACAACCCTCCACAAGAGACAAAATGATACAGAAAATAAAAACTACCTTGTTTCACAGAATCACTATAAACTAGCTAGTAGGTTAATATGTAAATCACTCAATATACCTTGTTTCACAGTGAATCACTCAAAACTAGCTAGGTTAATATGTAATGATCACTCAATATACCTTGTTTCACAGTGAATCACTCAAAAACAGCTAGGTTAATACTAATGAGGTTATATAAGACTCATATAACCTCCTTGGTCAATACGTAAACTGGTAAATCATCGCCAGCAAAACCAGCTAGATTTATAACATGATTAAGTAAATCACCCAGGCACCTTGTGTAACAGTGAATCGCTCAAAACCAGCTAAGTACATTGTAAATCATCGCATACAATGCAGTGGTGGATCCAGGTGGATCCAGGGGGTGTACGGGGGTTGGAACCCCCCTTTTTTACGATCAATGCTTTTGAATGGGGACATATGGTTGGAAAATTATATACGAATAAATTTTCTATTTTTACGAAATTGTCTAAAAAAAGATTATTAACCCGTTAATAGTTTCAAAAAAATTTCCTGTACTTTCTGTATCGTTTGAATTGTCTCTTCTCTCTAATGATTATTTAACCTGCAACTGTGCTATTTGCGCATTCAAATTATTATGACGTCAATACAAAATATAGCTTCGCGGAATTTTTACGTCGTCCGCTTCAAATTAAAAAAAAAACTGATGGGTAACCCAAAATAGTTCATTTTGAACAGTTGTCAGAGTAACTGTACAAAGAGAATAACTATATATTGTCTCAAAATATATACTAGTTTCTTTCTGATTAATTATAAATCACTTATTTACTGGCTATTCGGACATTTACAAGTTTTATTGTCATTGCACCTCGACAGCAACTATTTCCCTCCGCTTCGCCTTGGGAAATAGTTGGTGCCTCGGGGGACAATAAATTGCTATAATGTCCTCATAGCCGTTAAATAAGTGTATAATATTTCCTGGTATTATTAGTCAGTTGCCAGTATGGAACTCTTAATATTCTAAATGGAAATAGTCAATTTAAAATCCAGGAATGTTTAATATTGAATTTTATTTTCTTTTTCTGTGAGTAATGCACATTTACAAAGAAGGATTTAAAGTTAGTTATTGCAATGTTAAGGATTTTAATTTTAAAAACAAAGATTCTTTTGAAATCACTTATAAATTTTACAGTAGTTTTGCATTTAAATCGTAGATGGTCCTAATAATGTGTTTCAATTTGAAAAAAGCATCTGTTGTGCGCACGGAATATCAATTTCTAGACTACATTGGTAACATGTAACATGATTCGACGTGTTGACGTGTTGAAAGGGTGTCAAATTAATGTATTTAAATTTAAACAAAATCGTCCGTGACAACTGAAAATATATTCAAGCCCTTATGAACGGATCTGAAATACACACAAATGTTAGAATCAGAAACAGTGCTGAAACTGTAACAGAGCTACAGTATAATTTTTTTTCAAAGTACAAAAATGTACCGCTTGATAATCTCACTAGTTTTTCTCTTTGCCTGGACTTTATGTGAAATAATCGTTATTAAAAAACAAAAAGACAAAATATATACAGGGCATATGCTGTTTGAACTATCGATGCCGATGTGGTCATTGTGTGCCCAATTTTGCTCTAGAGTACAATTATGCAAATCTATAAACTTTATAATATCGAACAAAACTTGTCAGATAAATGATGCTGAACCTGGCGAAAGTAATGGTGGTGAACTCATTGAAAGTGCAGGAAATAGCTTCGTTGCGGCTTCAACATTCCCTGAGGTATGATTTGATTTTGATTTTTGTTGTTTTAACGCCACTTTTAAGCACCGCTTTTAGGCTATTTCGTGGCGGCCAGTTTTTATTGGTGGAGGACGCCGGACTGGCCGGAGAAAACCACCGATCTTCGATAGGAAAACTGACAATCCTGGTCAATTAAGATTGGAGTCGAGTGCACCCGCATGAGCGGTGTTCGAACTCACAACCTCAGTGTTGACTTGCCAGTGATTACAGTAGTAACTACTTAGACCACTCGGCCACCGAGGCCCCGACCCTGAGGTATGTATATAAATAAACTCATCATAGATACCAGGATTGAAATTTTATATTTACGCCAGACGCGCGTTTCGTCTACAAAAGACTCATCAGTGACGCTCGAATCAAAAAATATTAAAAAGGCCAAATAAAGTACGAAGTTGAAGAGCATTGAGGACCAAAATTCCTTAAAGTTTTGCCAAATACAGCTAAGGTAATGTATATTATGGTATGTATTAAGGATGTACTTGGTGGAATAAAAAAAATATAGAATTTAAAATTGATACTATAAGTCAGAAGAGCATTAGTTTAGGAACAAAATAAGCTAAAAATATTGATATAGGTTATGGAGCTCCTTTTCATGATATTTAATTTTTTTTAAATGGCGGGAAAAGTCTGACTCGGTCTTTTACCATATATTTGCATTGGTATTATTTGGGTCTCAAATCGAAAGAAAAGAAATCTAGAATCTGCTTAAATTTTGGTAAATGATCTTTTTTAGCTATTGAAGTCTTATATGAAAAGAAAAATGGGTGTTATGAGGCAAAACAATTGACCCTGTATCGTGGGAAAAAAACCAATGAGTCCGAACATCTGACAAAAATTCCTAAACCTGACCTAAGTACATCTTTAAAACTGCATGATGATTTTTCTGCAATAAACGATTTGTGCACTTTTTGATTCATATCCCTAAAATAAGGAACAAGACAGTTCGATATACTTTCATAGCAATTTGTTTAAGCAGTCAGTGTTTTGTTGTTGTTGAATCGTTTGTACATCATCATCTCAAGTCAATATGATAACCTAACCTTTATGTTAATATAAATAAGAAGATGTGGTATGGGTGCCAATGAGACAACTCTACATCCAAGTCACAATGTATAGAAAGTAAACAATTATGGGTCAAAGTACGGCCTTCAACACGGAACCTTGGCTCACACCGAATGTAGCAAGCTATAAAGGGCCCCAAAAATGACTAGTGTAACACAATTCAAACAGGAAAAACCAACGGTCTAATCTATATAAAAAAACGAGAAACGAGAAACACTTATGGACCACACCAACAAACGACAACTACTGATCAACAGGCTCCTGACATCGGACAGGTGCATAAAAATGTTAAGACCAATGTGCTAAGCTCATACAGTGTAACTTTGACTATAAAAAAAAAAAAACGAAAATAGCACTTTATAAATTTCCTGCGTTCAAAGCGATTTTCTATTTAACGATAGAACCAAAAACAATTTATAGTCAATAATGTATAAGAGCTCATAAGCATATTATTTTCACGAAAGAGAGGTGAAAGATACCAAAAAGGGTCGTTCACACTCATAAGTCCCAAATAAACTGACAACGCCATGGGAAAAAAAAAAAACGATCAAAAAACAAACGATAGTACAGAAAACACAACATAAAAAAGTTAAGACTGAACAACACAAACCCCACCAAAAAATCGGGAGTGATCTCAGTTGCTCCGGAAGGGTAAGCAGATCCTGCTCCACATGTGATACCCGTCGTGTTGTTCATGTAAGTACAAACCCAGTGATAAGTCTTATTCCGTTGGTCACATTCGGGGAAAAGAGGGCGGGATTGTGATGACGAAACCTGTAAATATTCTGCATTTTCGAGTAATATTACATTTGAGTAAACGTTGGTTACAGAAAAATAAAAATACACTCATTTCATCAGAGCTTTCATAAATCCATAAAAAGTATCAAATTAACATTTTGTTGTGCTCATACTTTTCTATTTCAAAATATAGTCAAAAGTTGTAACAAAACACGTCAAGACATTCATTGTTTGATCGCTCAGCGCAATGCAATTTCATTTAAATGCTGTTACCTAATTCCTAAACATATGAGTTCCGACTGTGCAAGACCCTCTTGGGTAGTCAAGGTCGTTAAAAACCACCCTCGTCGTAAACATATGATCATGTATTTTAACTTTTAAGTTTGTACTAAATAATGGGTTAAATATGGACATCAAAGCCCCTTTTCTTTTCAAATATTTTTAATTCAAAACCAAGATATGTCTTATGTCAAGCATTTGAAGATTTAATAATGTTTGCAGTCAATCCGAAAATTATTTAGCAGTAGTAATCATTAGCGCTGACAATATTGAAAGAATCAGAAATGCAATGTAATAGGGTCTGGATTGGGGGTCGTTCATTTCTGTATTTTAAAAATATTTAAGGCAATTTTTCTCTATTCTTTATTTTTTTTTGCCCATTATTTTCTATTCTGTTGATTTTGGCCTATGTTTTTCTATTCTTTATTTATTTTGCCCATTATTTTCTATTCTGTTGATTTTGGCCTATGCTTTTCTATTCTTTATTTATTTTGCCCATTAATTTCTATTCTGTTGATTTTGGCCTGTGTTTTTCTCTTCTTTATTTATTTTGTCCATTATTTTCTATTCTGTTGATTTTGGCCTATGTTTCTCCATCCTTTATATTTTTAGCCAATTTTCCTGTAATTTTTGCCCATTATTCTCTTCTGAACACACCATTCAGACCCCCATGTAATATATTAAAATTGTGTTTGTTCTGATAATTTTAAGAACTAGCTGGTCCATGTAAAGGTCATGGCTGTAAGTCTACTGAAGTGTGTATGCCGCAGTCACCGACTTACTCTTGCATCCCATTATTTGTGCAGTTTAATGAAAACAGACAGCGTAAGTATAAGATGTATAAACAAACAGACCAAATGCGTCAGTAATAGGATAACACGTGTTTTATGTATAAACAAACAGTGCGGGAGGTCGCGGGTTCGAACCCGGCCGGGTCAAACCAAAGACTTTAAAATTTGTATTTGCTGCTAAGCACGAGGCATTTAGCAGTAAGAGCAAAGACTGGTCGGCTCGGAGTCAGAATAATGTGTCCGGGTAAGGTGACATGTCTTCCAGCGGACTGTAACATTGTGAACTAGCACGTTAAAAAGCCAACCCAGCTTGATTGGTACAAAGTAGGGTTAATATTCATATTATATTAACATGTTGAATCGTTCTCGTTCTGAATATGCATATTAATTTGCCGATGGACGTTTAGCAACCATTCATCATCATCATCATCATCATTATAAACAAACAAACCAAATGCGCAAGTATAAGGTAAAATGATTTATGTATAAACAAACAGACCTAATGTGTAAGTGTAAGATTACAAATGTGTTGTGTATAAAGAGACAGACCAAATGTGTAAGTGTAAGATAACAAATGTGTTATGTAATATAAACAAACAAATCAAATGTGTGAATGTAAGATAACAAATGTTTTATGTATAAACAAACAGACAAATGTGTAAGTGTAAGTTAACAAATGTCTTATGTATAAGCAAACGGACCAAATGTGTAAGTGTAAGATAACAAATGTGACATGTATAAACAAACAAACCAAATGTGTAAGTGTAAGAGCACAAATGTGTCATGTATAAACAAACAAACCAAATGTGTGTAAGTGTAAGGTAACAAATGTGTCATGTATAAACAAACGAACCAAATGTGAAAGTGTAAGATAAAAAATGTGTTATGTTTGAACAAACAGACTAAATGTGTAAGTGTAAGATAACAAATGTGTTATGTATAAACAAACAAACCAAATGTTTAAGTGTAAGATAAAAAATGTGTTATGGTATAAACAAACAAACCAAATGCAAAACCAATGATTTCCAAAGACGACTTCAAAGGAATTCATCATAATTAGGTCCATTCTCATCGTGGATTTTGTCTGTCTCTCCAGCTTATTGAGTTTTTTTTTTAATTTTTGAGATCGTGTTTACATTTTAAACAATACAGTTTTTACACGATGGTTAAATCTAAATAAGTAAAATGTATAACATTGCAATTGAGTACATTTAGAAATGCAATAAATGCTTAAAGTTTTCCATGATTACGGGATCTCCTCGTGTGAAAGTTAAAATTGGCCTCAGCGACAAGGATGAAGGAAAGTTTCATGAGGGTGTTGATGGGGGTTTACAAAATAGAGAATAATGGGCAAAAAATATAAAAAATAGAGAAAAATGGACCAAAAAATAAAAAATGGAGAATAGTGAGGTGCTAAAATATAAAGAATAGAAAATAACGGGCGAAAAGTATAAAGAATAGAGAAAAATGGCTTAAAAAATTAAAGAATACAGAAATGAGGGACACCCCCTCCCCCAACCCATCCAGACCCTCTTTCGTGTGATGTGAAAGTATTTGAGATATGCTGTAAATTCAGAAATTATTGCGTGCATTTATTATTGCGATTTTTGAAAAATTGACAAAAATGCGAGAATAATTATTGCGATTTCAGGAAAATCTGCATACAAATATACAAATATATGTATCTGATATCAGAATTTGAGTTTTTATTATTGCGATAATCACCAAGTCGCATCTTTTCGCATTAATAAAAACCTCGCACTAATTTCTGAATTTACAGTATATGAGAAATGTTAGTTTTAACTGCCGTTCTCATGGAAAAGATTACATAATAAAATACTACAAGCACGATTATAACATTATTATGAATTGCATAGTGTATCATATTTTAATACAAAAAACACTTTGGAAATATTTCAACTTTCGAATTCAGTTCTTATATTCCACAAAGTATTAGATTTGATCAGTTTGATGTTTTTTTCTTCAATAATTGAAAGCAAAGTTAACTAAAGATTGAATTCGTAAAGATTAATATTATACATAGTAACCATGGATGATTTTTTTGAAATTTGGACAATATTAGTCAACTTCTGACCGAAAATGTGCTTGGTTTCGAAAGGAGAAAGTTTTGAGTACACACTCCGAATAACGTTATCGTTTTGAAGGACGGATTCATTTTTATATACTCCAGAAATTTGACTGGATATCAGTTTATCCTGATGCGCAAATGTAAAATATGATAATAACCAGCGTTTTTCTGCAACTGAATACCTTTATAGATTATTCCCAAACAATTTCATCTAAAAGCAGCCAATATACAAAATAAGTACTTTCCACCTAGAAATGCAAAGATGGCGTTCAGCGAACAATGAAAAAAAGCGTTCCTTAACTATGTTCTTATTTAGGTAAAAAGACTACAACAAGTAAACCTGGACAAACTGATATACAAACTACAACAACTAAACCAGGACGAACTGATATGCAGATGTCAATAACTAATCCAGGACACACTGATATTCAGACGACAACAACTAAGCCAGGGCAAACTGATATACAGACTACAACAACTAAACCAGGACATACTGACAAACAAACTACAAGAACTGAGCCAGGACAAACTGATATGCAGACTACAACAACTTAGTCAGGACAAACTGACAAACAGACTACTGGAAGTTTGGTTGTACCTGTAAATAACTTATCTTTAATGGGATAGCACATCCTAATTTTTACGGAGATGTTGTTTAACGAGCCCGGAAATTTAGATACGATCCGGGTAAACTTATCGATCCTTTAAATACACTTATTCTAAAAGGTTGCCAATTAAACACTATACTTAGATCTTTTAATATTGTTTTTATTGGTATTAATATTGATTTTGTTATCAATAAATTAAAATCAACCTAAATATTATTTTTATATACATATGCACATTTATGGGTCTACAATCTGTCGATACCTGTATCTTGGCATTGCACAAGGTTGTGTTTTTCTCTGACTGTTGGTTGTTGGATGTGTACTGATTGATATTTTAGTCTTATTTGCATGATTTTTTTTATTAGTTGTTATTGGCTTTGAACTATCTGTCTGTGACTGCGAGTGCTCTCAGATCTGTATTTAGTGACTTTTTGTTGTTGGGATGTATAAGTTCCCTGCCACGTCCACTCTGTGTTTTTGTTAAATGTGTTTCTGCTTTGTATCGATCTGATTAGTTAAGTCCTTTTCAACTGATTTTTATAGTTTTTTCTTATGTTGTACTGTTACACCACTGTCCCAGGTTAAGAAGAGTGTTGGGGCCCCTTCAAACATGTTTAACCCCATCACATTCTGTATGTGGCTGTCCCAAGTCAGGAGCCTGTAATTCAGTGGTTGTCGTTTGTTGCTGTTTATCATATTTGTTTTTCGTTCATTATTTTGTACATAAATCAGGCCATTAGTTTTAGCGTTTGAATTGTTTTACCTTTGTCATTTCGGGGCCTTTTATAGCGGACTATGCGGTATGGGTTTTACTTCTTGTTGAAGGCCTTACGGTGACCTATAGTTGTTAATTTCTGTGTCATTTGGTCTCTTGTGGAATGTTGTCTTATTGGCAATCATACCACATCTTCTTATTTTTATATATACAACAACTGAACCACCACAAACTGATATAGAGACAACAATAGCATTTCCCTCACTCACTACGTCAGCATTAACTAATATACATAAGATTACAAGCAAATGGATGACAACATATTATATTTAACTTATTCTTATATATTCTGTTTCTCTCATCTATTTGTTGTCTGTTTTATGTTATTATAGATTTGACCTTTAAGATGTAGACGGAATGCATATGATTACTTATATTGATTTAGTACATAAAGAAATGATTATGACTTTTCGTCACCAATTTATTCCTTTAAACGTTCACATCGGGAATAAGTTCCTCTTGGAGTGGTCTTTTCCTTGGTAATCGATCCGTTTGTTCTAGTATAGACTATGGTTTTTAAAGTAACATTTATTGCCATCAAATCAATTTTATCAGTTTTATTCATGGCCATCTAGCATAAACGGCACATACTCTCTTTTTAAACCACTTACAATCCAGCTGTTTACATTGTCAAGGATTATATCGAGTACACTAGTGATCAATAGTTTGTGTTTTAAAAAAAGATGTATTCTATATTTTGGATATCAAAGGAAAAATCATTTATTTAAATTATTAAAATGTAATGCTTGTGTTAATTTCAATCGGAGGGAAGTTATTGATTCTTGTTACATCACAATGGTACCGACCAATGCAAACGGAGGTTTGATGTGTATTGCTTTCAGCATATATATCTGTATATGCAAACCAAACATACATATTTTAGACCTACATCGATTTCATTTGTATAATTACTAACTTGATTACTGAACAATAGAACATACATTTATTTATGAAATCGGGATTTCAAGAAATTCAAAGCATCGTCTGTTTATGTTTCTATGTTTTGACGCCTTTCTTGTTCGTGTGTTTTCCTATACAATGCTAATGTTATTACGTCACAGTTAGAGTCGATTGCTTAATGACGTTCTTTACACCGATTGATTTCGGTTAAAAGACTATTTTCATATAACCGACTTGTGACTCCGGAGTTTATATTTTTTCGACAGGTGACAAACTCTGTGGTAGGACATCCTGATATTTGGTCAAGAAAGAGCAACGTGAAGGAGTAAAAATCAAGCTTTCAATCGGTACAATTTTTAGGGGAAATTAACTGTTTGATGTTTCCTATACACGACAAAATCATCAGAAAACAGTAATCTTTCCCCTAAATTGCACCGATTATATGTTTGATTTTACTTATTTTAGTTTCTCTTAATTGACCGAGTACCAGGATGTCATACCACAGAATAGGTAACCTGTCGAAAAATTAAATATAATCCGGAGTCAAAAGTCGGTTATATGAAAATAGGATGTCGATGGTGCTGGATGGACAGTAAGCTATTAGTTTAACCCATAAATTTTAGGGACTTATCATTTTTTACCTGGGAAGGGGGAGGGGGGCTGGTCAAAATGTAGGGGGGGGGGGGGGGGTTCAAGTTTTTTTCTGTAAGTGGAAAAGGGGGTTCAAATTTTTTTATGAATTCAAAGTGGGGGGATCAATTTTATCTCTAATGAAACATTTGTGAAATTTTTAATTTTCAAGTATAACCTACATATCATGCGTGTCAAAGGTAAGTGTTTTGCATGTTAAAATTTTGGCATGTTTAATAGAGGGGGGATCACATTTTTTTAGAATGTTTTTAAGAGGGGATAAAATAAAAGTAGTGAAATATTATGGGGATCAACAAATTTTTATATGTTTGATTTCAAAATAACCAGCCCCCCTTCCAGGTAAAAAATGATAAGTCCCTAACAATAATTCAATTCTGTGAAAACATTGAAATGCAAGTGGACACATAAAAAATAATACAAGTTACTATAGTTGTAGATATAGCTCCTTACACTTCCACGTAGTTATACGTCCGCACCTTTTAACTATTTGGGTTTGAGCTTTCCTGATGAAGGTAAATCCAGAAAAGCGCAAAATTAATAAAGTGTTATTTTCTTTAACTACCATTTGGTCGATACCACTGCTGATGGACTGTTAGTCCCAGGGAGTATCATCAGCTCAATAGTTAGTGCTTAGTTCGGCTCAGACTTATGACGTCTTTACGCTAATTCCATTGGATGTGTACTGATTATTATTCAGATCTAACTAAACATGATTATTTGTTAGTTATTAGCTTTGATCTATATTGTTCAGTAACAGCTAGTTTCCTAGAACGTTGCGTCGTAACTTCGTTTGCTTTTTTGTTAGTTTCCTTTGTGCTTCGTATCGATCAGATGAGTCAAGCCCTTTCCAACTAACGTGTACAGTGTGTATGTCAAGGATTCAGTATTCTTTGAAGGACTGTAACTTACGTCACCTTTGCAACCTCGACGCGTTTATTACGTAATTGTAGTCATTTGAGCAAGTAGAGTCATTATAAACAGTTAAAACTGTACAAACGCATTTTTATTACAAAGCGAAGTACTACCATTCCCATCCAGGTTAGTGTATATAATCAAGCTGTTACGTCACCATCCCATGTCCTGGGGAAGGTTATGCCTACTGAAAAATGTGAAAAAACCCTGCCACATTCTTCTCTGTCTGTCAGAAGTCAGGATCCTGTAATTCAACGATTTTCTTGATTGCTGCATGTTATATTAGATCAAGTTTGATTTATTGTTTTAGCATTAATCAGTTCTCTAGTCTTGTCGTTTGAATTGATTCCCAATTTGTCATGTTGGGGCCCTAGGGTTTTCTCCTTGTGGAAGGCCGACCGGACTGAATTATCCTGATGACGATTCAAATAATGTCCATAGAAGGTCCCAGTTGTCTGCAACATATCTTCTCGAATAGATCAAATAAAACACCAACATTGTCCGAATTGTTTATCAGATAGACTGTCCGAAATGTCGTTGTGGACGATCCAATTTAACTTTTGTTTAGAGTTGCCTCCAGTCTGAGTTGTCTTGTACTCGGGCATTACTAGAATTTGTTTAAAAGTCTGTTACGAAGTTTTGCTAAGAATGTGAATGTCGAATGATGAACTATTGTTGCTTACATCTACTTCATTTGGACTCTGGTTGATAGTTGTCACCACATCTCCGTATTTCTTATGGTAAAATTATTCCTTTTAGGTCGATTCCGGGCAATTAAGAGGTCGATATATTGTGAGAATACCATTTTTTAGGCTGTATTTCATAAGTAGGCCCCTAAAGGTCCTTTGGTTATTCATGTCGTCAGGTTGCTGTTTTGTTGGTATATACCCGAAGTCTCATTTAATATGAATTGCCTGTCAAAGTTAACGTTTCTATCAGAGAGTCATAATATGCTAACTCGATATTCAAACAAATAAATCAGACAAAATAACAATGCCATTGCAAAAAAAAAAGTATCATCAGCACAGAAAATGAGTGAACAAGTTGAACTTGTAAACATGCCTGACACTGAGGAATGGAATAAATCGGATCTTCACAGCAGAGAGCGTATTAGAACTAACATGTGGAAAGATAAACTTGCTGAAATTCGTAAAGAGAGTAGAAAGGGTATAAATCAATTTGTGCCATGACTGTGGTGCTATTGATTAGTTTTTCACTTGCAGTTGTAGTCGTTGTCATGTATCAGAAAGGTCGATATATTACATACCCTTTAAGGTATTGTGACTGATTGTTGTTCCTCTTACTTCTTGCGTGTGTTTGTGCCGTATTTCTGTCACGTAGTGTTGTTATTTTAGCGAAATTTTTTAACATTGTCATAAAGCGGGAGGTTTGGTTAGCCATTAAACCAGGTTCAACCTACCATGTTTTCTTAAAATGTCCAGTACCAAGTCAGGAATATGGCAGTTGTTATCAAGTAGTTCGTTTCTATGTATGTTGGCGTTTGTTTTTGTTGTGCTTCGGTGTTCCTGTTGTTCCTTTGTTTTCCTCTTATGGTTGATGTGTTTCCCTCGGTTTCAGTTTGTGGCCCTGATTTGTTTTCTCTCAATCGATTGATGACTTTTGAACACCGGTATACTACTGTGCCTTTATTTCTAGTGATGATTATTAACATATTTGATTAAAGTAACTTTTTTCTATTATAATAATAAATTTATTTATTTTAGTGTCACATATTGATTGTCATAAAACATCTTCAATTTTTTTTAATTTACACGTAAAACAAGCATTTGCAAGGCATGAAAATATGACTTATGAGAAACTAATAATATAACACTTGATACATTAATTATCAATGTTAAAACAACTAAACATTACTCATTAAAAGTTTCAAATCAATTTATCTGTTAACTTGTAATAAATTTCTAAATATATAAACATTTCTTGACTATGGCTGAAAGAGACATATAAAAACTTTATAATTATCATATGTGTAGATTTATCAATCCTATTCTGAAGAAACATTTAACTACATGTTATTCTATTAACAAAGGATGATGACACGCTTGTTGGATGTGGGATATAGGGGGTACCAAAAGGAAATTGTGGGATAAAGGGAGTAAAAAGGTGGAATCTGGGAAACAGTAGGGAGAAAAGTGGGAAGTGGGAAACTATTACACAACAGATGGATCTGAGAAATGAGCACCCGAATGTCATTTACATTTTTCTATGTTATTGTTTACATTTTGTTTGTTATTATCAATCGTTTATTAACTTCATTCACTCAATTTATTTGTCTTTTTTGGTTTTGGCAGTGTATACCTAATTATGTTATATTAACTATGAAGCTAAAATACAGACGTCAAATTACTGAAACAAGACACCCACAGTGCACTAAAACGTTTAAAAATAATTAATTGATGCTGTTGTATTCATTTTGATTGTTGAAAATTTGATTTTTAGTTAATATGATATTTTTATTCTGATTAATATTTAATTTGCGTGTTAGCTATTCCCAAGAACACCTGTTATAAAAGTGCGCCAGTTATAAAATCTTATACAAATGTAGATTGGATTACTATTACAACAGAGTATTTGGTTGCAATAGACTATTTTCATATTACCGCATTTGACTCCGGAATATATAATTTTCCGACAAGTTACCTTTTCTGTGGTAGGGCATTATGATATTCGGTTAAGTGAGAGCAAATTTAAAAAGTAAAATGATACCTAAAATCGGTGCAATTTTGGGAAAACATTGATTGTTTTTTGTTTTTGTAACACAACAAAAATTATCGGAAAAAAGTTGAATTTTGCCTCTAAATGGCACCGATTGTAAGCGTGATTCAGATTCTTTAGTTGCTCTAACTTGAATGAATTCCAGAATGTTTTACCACAGAGAAGTTTAACAGTCGAGACATTATAAACTCCGGAGTCAACCGTTGGTAATAAAATATTGGTATATTGTCGTAATTGAAATGGCTATCCGAAATCTATAAATAAAATGCTGAGAACAGTTTATAAACATTGCAAGACAGTCACAATGCCTGGTCAAAACATCACGATATATATAATATCAAAACTACATGTAATTAAACATCAATGCACTTGCTTTGATTATTATTAATGATTATTCGCTTCCTTTAATATATACATTGAATGCTGTGTTAAAGTGATACCTTTTCATTGTATTTCAGCGTACTATATCAATCATATGGAAAAGAGTTCAGAACTAGAAAAACAGGTACAACAATTGGCATTAAATGCTTCCAGTTTAGAAAGACAAATTCAGATTTCGAATCAATTAGGTGAATTACTGATTTTTCGAGTCATTTTGGCAATTAAGACTTTTTATTGTTATCATTGTTTTTATCAAATAAAAATAATTGACAAACCATAATAAATTTAATGAACTAACAACTAAAATAAAAAGGGGAAAATACTATTTATGCATGAACATCATAAGTCAAGGTCAAACAGACAATGCCTTATTTTTAAATAGTATACATGATTCGATCAGACGACAATTCACAGACTACTACATATGAAATATAGACTACGAAACACTAACCCAAGCAAAACCAAAATTTTCTCGCTGTTTTAAAGACCCATTGGTGGCCTTTGGCTGTTTTCTTCTCTTTGATCGGGTTGTTGTCTCTTTGACGCATTCCCCGTTTCCATTCTCATTTTGACTGAGAATTCATCTTGTTTAAAAGTTATTTCTACATCCTACCAAGTAGGCATGAACATCATAAGTCAAGGTCAAACAGTCAACGCCGTATTTTAACGGTGATCCGATCGAACAACAATTCACAAAGTACTACATATAAAATATAGACCGGGAAACACGAACTCAAGCAAAACAAAGGTTGTATTCTGACTGCGAATTCAAGTTGTTTTAAAGTTATTTCTACATCCTATAAAAGGTTCAAATGGAGCCAAATGTGCTGTTGGTGAAAGAGGTTCAAAGGGTGACAGGGGCATAACTGGTCTAGTCGGTTTTACCGGAAGCAGAGGATTAGCTGGAGATAAAGGACCAACAGGTGATAAAGGTCAAAATGGAGAAAATGGCCTTCATGGCTCAAATGGGGAACATGGTGAAAAGGGTATCAAAGGTGAAAAGGGCTCAATGGGAAGTAAGGGCCCTGTTGGCGACAAAGGTCAAACAGGTGAGACTTTCAAAATAAGTTCAAGTTGAATATTTAAAGTATATGATCTGTTTGATTGCTATGAACTTATTTATAATAATAGACGACTTTCAAATTAGTGCATTTTCCCGTATGTTTCCAATGATTTTGTTATGACGTCACAATAGGAACCGATTGTTTATGAACGTTGTTTTCGACGATTGATCTCGGGTCAACCGATGTAACTCATTCATAATCAACAACTCAAAATTGTCGTATTATAGTTGTATTGTTTAATAGGTTATATTACAGACGACAGCTGTAGATCAAATTATATCAAATGAAAAACGATGAAATATGTTCTATGAGTTGAATGTCACATATCTGACAAACAATAAATTTGCTTTTATATATATATAAATATAGATTCTACCACTGCATCAAGTGTGATACGATATTTATCCATTCGAGACAGTTAAATTTTCAAATTTAAAACCCGCGAGGCTCGCCAAGCGTTTTAAATATTTAAGATTTAACTGCCGAGTGTGGATATATATCGTATTGCATGAGATTTGGTGGTGGAATCTGTTTCACTAATGATTTATAGACGATATACAGACAATTTTAATCCTACTTTTCGAATGATCTGCAAAGCAAAAAAGTTTGACGTCATAATCAAATTTTGGTCAATGACGAACTGAGATCAAACAAACCACACCATGCACACGTTGATTAAAAATAAAAATCAATAGGTCAGGAAAAGGATAACTCAGGTAAGTGTAAGAGAAAACATATTATGATTACCTGTTTTCACTATGATGAATATTGTAATTTATTTTTATCTAATTCTAAAAAGGGAAGTTCGGACTAGCGACAAAAATCACCCTTTACTAGAGTATCTACTTCTTCAACGCCCATATTAAATTTTGTCGGTCTGATACTTACTTCAAGTGTACGAATTAAACATCCTTAAAACATACTGTATATCCATTTCGGAACCCTTGTTGGTCATACAGACACATAATGAGATAGAATGATCCAAATACAGACAGCAATATTATGAACTTTGCTCTCACACAGAATATTATGTGAACTGTTTGTTGAAAGGTTTAAGTACAATTTAAATAGATATGTGAATTCATAAATGTCTACAAAAGTCATATGTGAACATATGAGCTGCGTCGGATAGAAATCGACCTTATGCAAGTGAACGTATACATGTACATGTAAAAGACTTTGATTGATTTTGAAACATTCAAATACGACATAAAAGATGGATTCTTGTCTGTTTTATAGGGTTCTTATTACAACTGAAATTTCAAACAGTTACAGACTTTGCATAGCGATTATTTCAACCAGAAATAAGTTAACCGATGTATCGATATTCATTTGCATAAAGTCGATTTCGGTCCGACGCAGCTCATATATTAAGGAATGTCTTTCTTTTTCATTACATAGTTAGTATACATAAAATGTGAAGGGAATATAAAATAATCTTAAATCATTATTGAAGACCAAACTAAAACATTGATTACAAATTATATACTTTTAAATATACATTATGTACATACATTATGTTGTAAGTGAATACGTCTCTTTTGAGAAATGATTATGTATCACAAAAATCTACAAGAGAAAACCTAGCTATTGACAAATCCATCTAAAGTCAACTTTGCCTTGTTGAGTTGAAACTTCAATTTCTAAATAATTTATAAATGTGCTACTCTAAATATTATTTGCAGGAGAACGTGGACAAATGGGCGAAAAGGGAAGCCCTGGAGAATCAGGTAACTAAATACGTTATCATGTCAACAAATATAGAACTGTTAAATTCTTGATTAAAATCAATTAGAAACGGTAACAACCAAAGTTTTTCATCATATGAATGAGTGTGGGATAAACATCAATGTGCAATCCCAACCACTCAAATGTTCATCAATGAGTGTGGGATAAACATCAATGTGCAATCCCAACCACTCAGATGTTCATCAATGAGTGTGGAATAAAAGTCAGTGTGACAATAACACTACAACTCAGATTGCAATCAATGAGTGTGGGCAAAACGTCAGTGTGACAGTATCCCAACAACTCAGAATTATATCCCTAAGTATGGGATAAACGTCATTGTGACATTAACTAACAACTCAGAATGATTATATGAAGGGGCATTTGTTCCCCCAAATTCTTTATCGTTTATCCAAATTGCAATAGAACTGTGAACTCGTTATAAGATCTCAGCACTTCTTAAGTATTCAAGACTAGACAGCATCTAATTTTAAAAGCATCGACATGACCTCCGACGACTGCCGATTGTAATATGACCCGATTAAACATAAATATGAGTATAAATAAAAAGACAAGCATGTTCAAACATGTAATGACCGATCGGACTGCTAATAGCGAAATAGTATCTCTATATTTCGATTTTGTTAAATCCTTCAAACAAATAAATTCATAATTTTATTTTTTTGTCTGAATGATAGGTAATATTCTTTTCAGAATCGAGTGAACATTAATTCGTTTAACACTTTGATGTAGAATTTGATGCGACTGTCGTACAAGTGAGAGGTTTAGCGCTATAAAACCAGGTTCAATCCACCATTTTCTACATAAGAAAATGCCTGTACCAAGTCAGGAATATGACAGTTGTTGTCCACTCGTTTGATGTGTTTGTGCTTTTGATTTTGCCACCTGATTAGGGACTTTCCGTTTTTAATTTTCCTTGGAGTTCAGAAATTTTGTGATTTAACTTTTGACCCTGTAAAATATAATCTGAAAGATCCCTTTTTAAAGAAATCGAATATCTATCTTATTCAAGACTTTGTGTCGTCTGTCGTACACATGTATCATACTTTGTGTAGTCTAGTGTACACATGTATCATAGGTTCAATGGTCAATCATCATATTTTTGCTCTGTTGGTTTGTGACCTTTATAACAGATACGAACCTTCATATCAAAATGGTTAGCGATATCAATTTACTTAAATAACAAATTTTAATGGTATTAATTTAAATTATTTTGAGCTGGCAGTCATATTTTACACTCTTGTCTGCTCAACTCAGGTTTCAGATGTCAACGTTTTTGTATTATAAACTGATTTCCTTCTAAAGATTGATAAATTATTTAATAACCAAAGCCATAGTATTGTCATTTACATAAAAAAAACAAATGTTATGCGTGAATAAAAATATTGGTGTTTTTTAGTTATTACAATTAGCTGTGGTTCTGGATGGGAACAGTTAATGAATAGTTGTTACTACTTTCATTTCCAATCAACGAAGACATGGAATGATCCAAAGGTACAAATAGTAACGTAAGATATTAGCAAAGGAACTGATATAATAACGAAGATAAGACTAGAAGGCCAATCACGTGATATTAATACATGTTCATGATGTTAATCTAAAAATGGATCAATTTCGACACTCCCTTACGCTACTCCTACATTTCCATTCAAAATAAGCGTATGTTCCATGTTGCTTAGCAAATTCTCCATTTTGTTTACTTTTTTTCGATATAAGTTTTTGTTTTTCATCCATTCACGTTGTTATGGCCATCATCATCAATTCGACAGTGGAATGAACGGTACGTCGTATATACATTTGAACAAGGATCGCAACATTTTGCACGCGTAAAAAGTGTATATTCTTACTCCAGAGAAAAATTCACTGCCGTCGGAACGACATGATACAATGTACTCGAAAATATTATGCAATGGCATCTTTCAACAATGCATCGATCTTTTCAAATGCTGATTAAAAATTAATGCCATTTTTTTATACCAACTTCAATAGCTCGAATATCACTTCGACAAAGAGGACTCGCTTATTATTCTTGCTGATCAAGTCAGTATCGAAAGCAAAATGTATATAATATATATTTTAGCATTTTCTAATAATATACAAGAATAAAGCCAAATTTAAATATAATTGTAGTATATTTGTTGCGCTTTTTCAAACGTTGAATTGCTAATTTAGTCCGATACCTTTTTGTGCAATTAGCATTATAAATATTGTACTTCTCTGCCATATTTACTATTTTGACACAAATTTAAATATGTATTTTGTAGATTGATTGTCATAACATGGAAGGACTTCTTGTAAAAATTGACAATAACTTTGAAAATTGGTTATTGAAATCCTTTATAAAAACCGGTAAGTAAATTTGTTTATTATACACTGTTTATGATTTTCGTATCGTTGATTTATAATTTATTAATATAAGATTAATAAACGGACCACTGGCGCTGAAAAACCAACAATACAAATTGTAGAAAGAATACAAAATTTTTATTACTAATAATACAACAAGTATATGTACAAAAATATGTATGTGTGGATATTTGATAGGCCGCAGATAAAATGTTTAACCAGTTCCAGGGAGACAAACAACCCGATAGCCAAAGGATAGAAAAGAGCATATCGGGGACCCTATGATAACGTAAGTGTCAAAATATCCCTCCTACGTGCAAGAGTGGACTGGACGGAGAACCCCCCTCTGTTTACACAAATCTCTGCAAAACAACAGTATCTCCGATTTTTTATATGCAAACAACCTGAATTACGTGTACTGCGGAGATGAAACCTCCCTTCTGATACCAGAAGTGGAGGGGATTCCTCTCGATGACAAGAGTGAACCCTAGGAAATTATTTAATACCCTCCATTATAGAGCCGGTAGGGTAGAGATATGTGCCAGAGGGGGACAGTTCTAAGTCCGTGTACCGTCTCTCTGAACCGCCAAATGAATGGGGTCTCATTATTCCCCATTTATTTGGTGGGAAAACCTTAGCAACACCGATTACGAATGTTTCAATAACTGCCTGAATGTTATTCAAGAAGATACCAATACCAACTTGTGACAAGTGTGTGCCGTCATGTCTGAATAAAATAGAATCAGAGGCTTTGATAGCTGGATACCTTAAAATGTATTGACCTTCTTTCTTCATAAACGATCTTACAGCACAGTTTACTCTTTTTCTGGCTATTTCAATTAACTTTGGCCTTAATGGTCCATGCCAATAGTGCCTTAGTAAAATATCTGACCATATGATTTTAATGTCAGGTGCGAAAACTTATATTCTTAAAAATGAGCATTTGATGTTCTCGATTAATTCATTAGCACTAAATCATTTGCACCCAGATGTAAAAAAATATAATTAGGGGCTCGCAACTTTTTTATTTTACTTTCAAAAAAATGAATCCAGAGCTTTCTATTTCATTCCTGATTTTGTTATCCATTGCTATTGTGTATCTGATAAAAATATGTTACGAGCTTCTTATAACAGGTTTCGTTGAAGTGTCAGGAAAATTCAGAAAAGGCATAGTATTCTAAAATAAAAAATATTAAAACAAGACTTATTTTCAATTTAGTATTGCTATTTTGTTAAAACGCGATTTAGGTAGTTTTCTGAGTAACATGCAATAATTTCGATGAGGTAAATTAAAAAAATATAATGCCTGAGATTTATAAGCATGATGAATATCAGGAAACAAAATATATTTGTAAAAGTAAGACTGATAATTTAGTAGAAACATATGAATAAACTAATTAAAGATACAGGCTTAAAGTTATGTACGTCAGACGCGCATTTCGTTTCGAAAAAAAAATGTTAAATAGACCAAAACAGTACTAAGTTGAATGAACTGTATTCTGTTATCTTTTTGATTTTCCTGAAATGTTTAAAACAATTGTTCTGATAAGCAGTGTGTTTGTTTTAAGATAAGAACCCAGGTGACGTTTGGATCGGAGCACATGATTTTGTACGAGAAGGACTTTTTGTATGGGAAATTGACAATACACCACTTACCTACACTGACTGGTATCCTGGCGAACCAAACGATTTTGATAACAGGGAGGACTGTGCATGTTTGTATCATAGTGAAAGATACAGATGGATTGATATTTCATGTTCAAATACATTTTATTATATTTGTGAGAATCATTAAGATACACGTACTGTAGTACAATTGTGTAGCTTATTTAGTGACATCTACATGTTAATAATGCAGCAGTAGCTTATCAGATGTTAAATATGCTCTCTTATAAAAACATTTCTATATCTTTTTTTTTTGGACTGTCTTAGATCATTGAGTTATAATTTTACCTTAAAAAAAGTTAATGGTTACAAATTGGTTTTTTGAAAGAGATATATGTCGATGGACATGTTGATAAATTAATAGATATTTTAATTTGTGGTCTCATACAGAAATTTAGCGTTTGTGCCATTGAGACAGCAAGACACAAGACTACAAAAACGTATGCACCAGCTAAAAATAATAAGTATGCCGTCCATTGTTTAATTTCAAATAACCTGGAGTTAGATTAGCGACGACTTTATGCTAGAAGGACTACCAAAAGTTGTGCCATAAACAGATCCTTAAGTGACACTAAATGAAGGTCTATATCTTAAATGTTAAATGCTTGGAACAAAGGACTAAAACAATCCTAGGACAGTATCACGCGACTGCATTTACATGATTACTAGGAACAAACTTATTCCCCTGAGCACTTCTCTTTAACATATTCGCGATACAGGATAAAGGATAAAATAAGTCTGTTTGGTATAAGTGGTGTTTATCACACAACTATATTCCAGAAAAAAATTCTGATGATGACTGACTTCCAATACGGTGCATAGCTGTAGTCGTTATTTTGCCTTATTTGTCTTATCTAAACTTATAAGTAAATAAAAATAACACTTTATAAATTTAGATTTCTAGATTATCTTTCATTATAGGAATCCACGGAAGAGCTTTATAACTAAAAAGGACATAAATGAATAAACCAATCCATTTAAGGTCAAATATGACTGAAGGAGTGAGAACCATATTTTGTTTTAAATAATTGATAACTTCATCAACGCAGAATATAATAACAAACCATTGATTTAAATCATGTCCATTCAAGTTTATAATTTGATATGCCTTCTTGATGAAATCACTAACATGTTATTTCTGATGTAGTGAGTTCAAATTTTGTTTCTGCACGGTTTGTTCGACTCCGATCTTCATCAACTGACTCCTAGTTGTGCTTCCAATCGTCCACCTTCCTTCACCAATAGCAACTTATCGCTATGACATAGTAAAATATAATACATATTTGGCATATTTATCTTACATTTTCTCTAAATTAAATTATTACATTACATGTATGTTTCATTATAATACGTTATTTTGATTGGCCAACAGCAATCTCTCGTCATTCTGAAATTAACCTTCATTTCAAAATGAAATGTAACCTTCATGATGACACGAGCTTCTACAATAAAGTGCACAGGTTAGTAAAAGAAAAACTTGATAGAAATCGTGTGTTCATGATCCTAGAAAAAAAATGTAATTATAAGTATTGAATGCTTGTCGACACCTACATCAACAGCAAACAGTGAAGTCTAACAGATGTTTAAGAATTAAATGCTTCTTTTTGTAATTTTATGGTGTTGTAAAAGCGTTGACCGTGCGCACTTTTTTAATTGTGCGTACCTTGACACAGTGGAAAGACCAAAGTGGTCATAATTTTATTTCGAATAGTCATTGAGAGAGGCGAAAGATACCAAAGGGATTTTCGAAAGAAAAAGAGGTGAGAATTACCAAACGGACATTCAAACTAATGATTAGCAAAACAAACCGACAATGGGGAAAAAAACAAAAACAAAAACGAAGAAAAGACTAACAACGGTACACACATTACAACATAGAAAACTGAGCAACACGAACCACACCAAAGAACCATGGTGATCTCAGGTGCTCCGGAAGGGTAAGCAGATCCTACTCCACTTGTACATAAAGCGATGATTCCCTGTAGACAACCGTATCGATAAATACATCAAAAAACAAGTATGTTCTGACAAAAAGTCAAGACACTCAAGGTGTATTACATCATTTGAGAAAAAGTTAATTTTGTTTCTATATGGTGCATGAAATACAAAAGAATGTTTCTAAATAATATTACTAATTGTTTCAGATAATACAAAATGGTTGAATATATGTTATATAAAAAAACAAAAGTTATACTTACTAACACTGATTTGGGTAACAATATATTAAAACATTACTTAAGTATACAAAAAGGAGAACTCATTTGCCTATATCATTTCGGTACTTAAATGTTGCCATTGGACAAGATCAACTTTTAGTTTATTTTTGGCTGAAGCAGTATAAGACAATTTCACTCTCAATGGATGGGTATTGATTGGCATTTAAGTCGCAGAAACATATATCTTTATTAATTGTAGAAAGCTTTGACCTTTAGTGTTTAGTTATTGCTAGTCTCTAAAATCGTTGTGTTGTGTGTCTTCTTTTGTCTTTCTGTTAGTGTTTT